TAATTAATGTAAACAACATAAGTTATCATGCAAGCCCTTTGTTTCTATGAAAATAAGTATTGCTTCTTTGGGGTGCTGAATTCATATTTCCGGGAAAACACATACTTCCATCTGAAACATCCTTGACTGTGCTTTTTTTTAAAGAATTGGATGACATTTTCCATCAAAAATATACACTGAGGGAAAAAATTTTGTTTTAAAATAGGCAGGTACAATTGTAAATATGGAATATTGTTGTGTTTACATGCTGCAATTGCTAATACAATGTTGTCTTTTGATCTAGTTGAACAAGTTTCAGAGAGAGAAAATAGAAATGACAGAGGCTGATGAACTCAGAACCACAACTTCCTTCCAGTAAAGTCTTCTTTCATTTCTTCAAGCTATTAAGCAATTCTGTGTTTTCTAAGCTTTTGCAGAAGACACACACCTTAAACTGGAAATAGAAATTGCCCAACCAGTTACACACTGGTTTCTTTCTACTTAGATACTTGCTTTAAATAGAACCTAGATGGAACAAATGAAGAGGGTTCTCAGGTAGCCTGGCTGCCTCGACCTGCCACAGAGCGAAGTTCAAGTCATATAATAGAAAATTCAAAGGAAAGTGACTCTCTGCTTATCAAAAGCTAAAGGTCCAAGGGCAGTAAGCTGTAAATGAGGATATGTTTTAGATACACTCACTCGTGGATATCTAGGTCATTAGGTCCATTAACTGCCTTTGTAAAGCAGTAATGTCCTTCCACATTCAGAATGATCTTCTTCCACACTCAGACTTACTACATTTGAGGCTGCTCTGGAGGGAGGATCAAGGGAAGAGGTTGTCCCTAATTGTAGCTGTCAGAGCTAGAAAGAAGCAGCTCACAGAGTAGGAGAATTAAATCCTGCTAATAGGCCCAGCACGTGCTATGGCAAAGTAGGATATTCATATTGCAGGGTTGTTTGCTTGGATTTTTTTCTTTTTTTTTTTTTTTAGGAGTTCATGCTTTGTTGATGGTACAAGATGTGTTTACGTACAAAAGAGGAAGGAGGGAAGAAAACAGATAAAGCCAGATCATGTGGGTACTGCAGATAGCAACTGGAAAACATTGGACTCCATTACGTTACCATGCAACCAACTATGGAGCACACTACTATTTCTGCACCAAATTGTGGGGGTCAGAAATGAAGCCAATACCAATTTCCTTTATAGGCTGTAGCATTAACTGATCTGTTGTGCAGTTCAACTAGAATTTTCTCTTAAACAAGGTATGTTTTACTGGTCTAGCCTACACCATGCTAATGTGCTGATCATGTCCTTGTGCTAAGGGCAAAAAAAAAAAAAAGATTGGAGCATTGCCCCCATCTCCCCTTCTTTGTTGGTTCGCCATACTTCCTTTTATTTGTTTAGTGAAGAAGAAAAAAGTCTAGTAGGTAAAGAAGTTCTCTTACCTTTTGCTTTTCAAAACTGGTTACACATGGCTTCAACAAATGCTCATCTGTAGCTACAGTAACACCTCTGTGCCGTAGTGTTTCTTATTGAGGAATGCACGTCACACCTGTGGCACTGCCAACCAGACAGCTGTGAGGATTCCTAAAGACAGATAGGAAGGTCAAACACTTCAGCTCTTTATTGACTGGATCCATCTATGACTTTGGTGGTGACTTTTTTTTACCACTGAGGGTTTACACATCTTCCCTTGACGCCTATCAAGAAGTGATACACTCAACAGTGTGTCCTCAAACACAAACTTACATGTAACACCCTCTTTTGCATTGTGCAAAAGCTTCCTCTTTGAGGTAACACACATAAAGGAGCTTGAGCAGAGACATGCCCAATTCTTAAATGCTTTTATTTTTCTTAAGAAGAGAGAGAATTTTCAAAAAACACATACTTGTTGTGTACAGATACACAACCATTACAACTTTTACCATATTATCTCCATACGTCCCTGAAATCAGTATAAAAACATTCTCATAACTTCAAAATAATGTTTTTTTTTTAAATTTACTTTGTACAGCATGCTATTGTAACACTGAAATTATGGCTAAGAGTTTGGCAATGAGGCAAAGACCAGAAGTGCAAGTCATTGTGACTAGGACTGTGCTGTGGATTTCTGTTTTTGGAAGCAAGGTGGATGCTGCAGTTCTGAAGCAAACTCATTTTTCTGACTGTCGCGTGTTTCATTCAAAGCCTTTCACAAGAGGACAAATAAACACAGTAATGGCAGCACAATGTAAACATCTTATTTAATAATGCTAACAGTCATTAAAAAAGATATTTAGGCTTCACTGAATTATAAAGGAAATTACAGCAGAAAGGAGAGCTGCATCATTAAATGAAATGTTCTTAACAGCTTTAATAGGAAAACACCTTTCCCTTTGTTTTATTGTAGTGATCAATGATTTATTACCAGTAGATGACTTTGCTTTTCTTTGTCAAACTGATAAGACACTTCTGTAATTAATCGGGATTTTCTGCATTTACTTCCTTATTTGTGCAGCAGCAGCAGCATCAAGTAAAGAATGGTGTTTATTAGTTACCTGCCTACTGGAAATATATTTAATTCAATTAAAGAAGTGACACACAAGAGGAAATCAAGAATGTGAAGGTTTTGCTAAGTTTGAAAGCTTAAACACATTTATTTTCATGTAAGAAGTTTTTCAAACTTGTGTGACTTTCTGACTAACTCAGCTAATACAGCACTTTGCAATTAAAAATTCACATATTGTACAATACTGAAATGGGAAGAGAAAGAGCTTTACACAAACACTGTGCTGTTAACAACCTGTCTAACAATCTAGCTGGGAGATAAGCAGTACTTTCACCAAAGCAGTACTTTCTGGAGATGAAACACAGTTCCCTGCACAAGGCCCTCAAGCCCACAGTCCCTACCAGTCCACCTCTCGTGTACCAGAACAGATTGGTGTCATGCCAAATACCATACAGATGAGTAAAATGCTAGAAAGTGGCTTGAAAACCAAAGAGTTCTAGAGAACAGCTGTAACCATGAAGTGGGATGCAGGCGGCTCTGCCTTGTGACTGCATGATTCAATGTGTGTTCCCTCAGGCAATGCTGACGGGTTTGCTACAGAGCTCTGGTCCCCACAGTCTATTTTTGGTGCTGTATCCTAATGACTTGTCCTCCAGAGCCTGTAGCTCCTCAGTTCACCATGATCTGGTAACAGCAACGTCTGTGCAGCATTCCCACTCACATCAGAGGGGAATTCTGCTTTAAAAATCAATTGCTGTGATAAAAGTCCCAAGTTCAAGACCTATCAGCTCCTGCTCCTGCTTCAGCAACACTTGAGGTCAGGAAAGTCAGCAAGTCTGGCTGAGTGAGAGTGAAGGGAGTTTGAACTTAAAAGAAATGTTTTGTAATTACTCAAAAAATACATGAATGGAAAAAAGTGTTTCACAGCTATTGCCTGGACTGGCACTATCACAGTCTGCAATGCTACAGGAACCACAATGATTTATAGTACTTAGGGTTAAGACCTGCCTGACCACTTCAATTTTGGAGTTACAGAACATGAACAAGTTCTTTTGGCCTTTCCTTGCTAGGAAGCAACCAGGTGAATTGAATTTCACTAATAGAACAGCCTTTACTCAAAACAAGAGATATTTTGATAGAAGTGGGTAAGGAAGTGGCTCCTATAATATTATTAGCAGATATGGTCTTTATTTTTTCTGCAGCAGCATAATTAAGAGAGAGCTTTCAGTGGAATGGACCCTCCCTACCTAATATAATGTTAATATGTTAAAAAATCAAAAGAAAAACTGCAAATGTTTTTATGTGAATCTTTAGGCATGTTTACGTCTACGACCCAAATTTCTGCTTCATTTTTTAAAAAATGGAAAGACAGTTTTTAAGTATTTCTGTTATTTATGCACATACTGAAAATATAGACTTCTTGAAAAATTTTCAGTCTATGCATCCTTACTGTTACTAGTAAGGATCCTCTTTTTTTTACCTCCAATGGTGCATTTATTACAATCCCACCAGCATAAATAAAGCAAAGTAGAAGAGGGGGAGGGAGAAGGAAGACAAGCATTACAAGTAGGGCCTTTTCTGCTTAATTTCTGAATTCAAACCACCAGACTAACTATATTCTAATCTACTCATTTGACATGTGTACCTTTCAGGAACACAATGCAAGTGCACCATCAAATTGTAGAAATAGTAGAAATAAATTAGGCCAAGAAAAATGTTAAATTTTTCTGATATGTTTGTTTTTATGGGTGAGACAGAAAAAGATTTGGCAAGAATAAAATATGTGCCAGTAAGTGAAAGAAGAAAGAAGTATCAGTAGAAAATAGGAGGAGGGTGTGAGAGACAGCAAGCAAGTAATACCAGAGTCTAATAATATTCTAGATCAAATGTTTCAAGTTGAAGAGAGTGATTTTTCTACTGCTTGACAGCTGGTAAAACTGGAAGCACATTTATCTGAATTTTCACAGACATTCACATTTGTAAACCTTATGGAAACAAGGTCACAAAAGTGACTTGCTTTACACCTTAAAAATGTTGCATCATGAAGCCCAAGTTATTTATACAGAACACCTTTTAGGGAATGTTATATATGGTCAAATCCAGGCCAAGAGCCAGGACAGGGGCTCACCTGCAAGCCCAGCACCAAGGCAGTGCTGTGGGGGGAGGCCCAGCCGGGCCCCTGATGCACTGGGGCTAAACCTTGGATGTCTTAAAATGAAAACGAAACACAAACCAAACCCCTTGTTGGGCTCTCACTGCTAATAGATGAGGGTATATTTAAATTAATTTCCTAACCTTGTTGGCTAGTACATGGCCTGTATCCTGAAGCCAGACTATCTCTTGGGCTCTCACTTGCTAATGCATCTCCTAAGGAGGGCTCTGCCACCCCCCATTACAGCTCTCTCACACCGCCCTCATCCCCCCACAGGTGCAGTGGGTAACACTGTGGGGCAGCTTTTCACTCATAAGGGTGACATTTGTTGTAGGCCTGGGCTCCCTGTGCTGTGTGAGGGGCCCTCGCACGTTCTGGGTGAGCCCTGAGGAAGGGCAGCGCCTCCCCAGTAACAGCGCTGGCCAAAACGCCAAAACACACACAACAAGAAGATTATCTGAAGGTAAAAGCTAATTAAACCAAACCCCCTTATTCATCAGGTCAAGGTACAGCATAAACAGGGTTGGTGCAGCCTCGGTGATCACACAGCCTGGGTGATCTTTGGTCAGGGTGAGGCGCGCAGGAGAAGGCGCTGCAGGTGGGGTGTCACACACCCGGCTGAGGGCTCTGCAGGGTGCCAGGAGTGTGATGGATGTTTCAGGGCGGAGAGAGCTTTTGGCAAACAAGCTGCCTGTTCAAAGCAGTACCTGAAGGTCAACACTCACCTTGTCCCACAGCAGTGCCCGAGGCCAGGTCATTGCTAACGCTTTTATTTCCATTTCAGTGACACTTTCAGGCAATCTCGTTATGCGTGTGCTCCCTTACGGCAGGGATGTGCTGTACAGCAAAGACTTCACACAGCAAACTAAAGCTGTGTTGAGTAGTGTGCCCTTGTTTGTTTAATCTGAAACAAGCTTTGTTTAAGCTTTTCTGGGAGGTGTCCCACACCAAATATTGGCCAGATCCAGTGAATCATTCCCATTTCTCTTTGCTTTTCACAGCTAGTCCTGGGGACAGCCCCCTCTGCACTGAGACAGGCGACAACTGCAGGATGAACCATTTCCTTTAACAGTTGCATCAGCCCCCTCTGTAAGTTACTATTTTCTGCAGAATGGCGATGAAGTAACCAGACAGTACAGTACTATCCTAACAGCACCTTGTGGTAAAGAAATACAGGGGCTACGGGACGTCAGAAGGAGAAATGCTGACACCAGGGCTATCATAGGCAAAAAACCCTCGCACTGAAAACTCCATACAGCTCTCTGGTAACCACAACAGCACGAGATCTGCAGTTTTAAGTCCTTCAAGTACGACTGTAATAACAAAAATTAGTAACTGATTGCACGTACACTGCAGAAAGCAAGCTCCTGTTCTTCTTCTCTTCCAGAGAGGTATTTACAAATAGACTACTTAGAAAAAATTAGAAAAATGTGACCATAGATTCTAATGATGCATTTCTAATGGTGATCAGAACTATTAAAAACATTTCTAATGGTTTCTAATCTATATTTGAAACTCTAACAAGCCAGTGAGAATTTTAATTAAACTTTGTAATTAATATGAAAGTTGGAGGTGATACAGTTCTTTGAAAAAGTACTAGAATTGGCGAGCAAAGATAGTCATTGTTTAAAAGAAACAACCAAAAAACCCAACCCAACCCAAAGAACAGAATGGAGTAGGAGACAAAATGGAGAGAAGGAAAAAAGTTGTAAATTACTTCAATAACCTCTAAACTGTCCATGGAATAAGAAGTCATGGATTTGCTTAACACAGGACAGGGAAGTCTTACTCTTCTGATAAACATCAGCTCATAAAATTCAGCCAATTGAATCTTTACTGTTTGTAGAACAAGGAAATAATTTGTATATTATGTGTATAGATTTAAGTCTATACACATAGTAGTTGAGCTGGGGAGGTACAGTAATTTTTCTTGGTGTGCTCTTCAAAAGTCCTCACCTATGCAAGAGATGGATTTTTAGGGACAGTCAGAGAAGACACAAAATCCCAAGAACTTTCATAACACTCACAATCTTTTTGAAGTGCAGAAAAATATTTTGATTTCTCACATTATGTGACAACCCTCCCAACAAATCTATATTAAAAACCAAAAAACAGATCAGCTAGCAAGGCAAAACAGTTTATTACCAAAGCTGTTATGCTTCAGGACAGGATGAGAGAAGCAACAATCTGTGACTGATAGCAGTCATACTGCTTAATATGTTACTGGAATCATCACTGAAAAGTAGTTAAATATAAAAATGACATAAAAATTACTTACAATTATTTCATAGTATTTACAGACCATACAACTGGTGTACTGAAGAACACACTCATTTAATTCATCCATCAACTCAGAGCACAGCACTTTGTTTTGTTTGGCACAGTCCAGTAAAAATATGGAAATATAGAATAACGTAGAGAAATATTTTGAAATATTTTCTGTATTAAAATACTTTAAACTTGTACTCCTCAGAGCACTGTATCTTTGGGGTTCTATGCTACCCAACCTTGTAATGCCATTCCTTAAAATGAAAGCTAAGAAGGTATTCTGAAAACTAGCAGTTCCTCTCGTTCTAAAACATAAAAGCTGCTGAGTCATCATTACTTGATAAATATTTACGCTGAATCTGATAAAGTAACATTTTAACTTTTTTTTCCTCAGCTGAGGAAAACATAAAGCTTCTGAAGCCAAGCCACCTTGAAATTTGGGAAGCAGCTTTTCTAGCTGAAGTTTGTCTTTGCTGCAGCAGAGCAACCTAAAGCACTTGACTATTACTCACTTAGGGGGACTTTTTCCAGTTAGCAGTTGTTTCACTTTTGCTTTCTTCCTGACAGAAACTAATCTCCCTTCTGAACATCTATTGTAAAAGAAACTGAGCAACAGACTGTGAAACTGCTTAGAAGATAGAAAATATCTACAAAAATACAGAAAATATCTACAAAAGGACTGTTCTATCACTGGATGCATTTCTTGTCTCGTTAGTTTACTGGGGGTCTGCCCATTACATTCTTTCCCTGGCCAACCCATAAGAAAACACACAGATGCTTAGAAAGGAAGTGTCTCTTCATAGAATCATTTCTAATTTTAATATGTTAGTTTCTATTTTTTAAAGTAGATGTTCCTAACAGCACGTAGAAATGTTTAAAAATATTGTTAACTGTGAAGTACATTTGAGCTTGCACTTGAACAACCTTGCACAAAAAGAAGAAATTCACATTGTTTTGGATAATGCAAGTTTCCTAATTCTAGTAACTTTTTCTAAATTTAAACATGAACAATATTTAAACACAACAGAAATGATCTCATTTTCTTTTCTGTTTTAGCCATGCTTAATTCTTCAGTTCTAATCCTGCAGTCTCAAACACACCCTTAAATAACCTACTGGACTCCTCAGCGGGTTAAGGTGAGCACACATATAAGTTTGAGTATTTGCAGCAGAACATTAGTTTTGACTTAAACTGTCATCACATCTAATGTAGACAAGAAATGCAAGTGTACTTTATGACCACATATGTTGCCATGCAAAGACATCTTCTGGATATGACTTTGGTCTATATACTGCATTGAAATACAGCATAGAGAGGAAGCAGACCAGGAATTCCACTTTAGAAGGGCTTTTGGGTAACCTCCATTTATGGAATTTACATTAAATGTTGTAAAAATTTAGAATTTATTTAATTAAAATTTTATAAAATAACAAAACTAATGTATTTTGAAAAAAATCTCAAAATTCTACAAAAACTGTGAAGGCTTTTTCCATCTATAATTACCATCTGAATATTCAACATTTGGCATCAAATGCCTACTGAAAATGAATATTTGAGTCAGTTTTTTTGGACTATGTGGATGCTGTATGCCAACTCCTAAAGCAACACGAAACTCCTCATTCAGAGTCCAAAAAAATGGAGGAAGACCCTAAAAATGTAGCAGAAGCATTTCCGCACACTGATTTCAGTAGTCAAGTTTGTGCAGAAGTGATTCCACTAGATTCATAGGGCACCTTTTTGAGGCAACAGAAACTTCTCACTTCATAAGCTTTTTGACATTTTCCAGCTCTTCTATAGGCTGCCATTTCTGCTGGATTGTTAATAGCTGGAAGAAATGGAAAATATGAAAGTTAGCAAAATCCCAGAGGGCATTTACTCCACTCCCACACCCCCCAAGTCATACATCAACCTATTGGTGAAGAATTTCTAGTAGCTTTACATTTTTCTTTCAGAGGTATGCAAAAATAGCAACTGATGACATATATAATAATTTGTTGAACAAAATAATTTGGATATTACATAGATAATAATGCCAAAGAATTTTATTTTTCCTTATAGTAGATGCTCTACTAAATAAAGATATTTTTCCTTCGGGCTGCAGTACCTAAATATTCTTAGTCAATTTTGTAATTCAGGAACAAGGGGAAACAGCCTTCCTCTGTACTCCAAATTTCCAGTGTTATCAATGGAATTGAGTAAATGGATGTTGGCAGTGGGAACAGACACAGCACAGCAACTAGAAGAGCACCATAAGTTCAAGATCAGACCTAGAATGTAATAGCTGATTCCCTATCATTACGTAACACAGGGAAGATATAAAGTAATGAACTAAAATTTTGTTTCTACTATTAATTAGATTAATTTGTTTCTACTATTAATCAGCTTTACTTGTGTTTCCTCATTAATATTTTGCTAGTTCTTACACATTAAAACAAGTTACTCGCTGTGTTGGAAATATATGCTATTTATACTGACTATATTGCATGTAAAAATTACCTTCTGAGGCTTGGTAGGATCAATATTTTCCCAGGGTTCTGGATTGCCACTCCTGTTAATCCTTTAAAAGAAGACAAAACAAGACAGGTACTATGTTTTAAGGTGTGTTCTTCCATACATTTTTCTTATATGAGCAGCCTATCATCATCCTTACTTAGGTAAGGAGTTCCCCAAAACACAAGTTTACAGGTTTGGGTGTTCTGGGTAGGATCAACAATGGCTTGCTTTATGTGCATCTTCCAAAGGATCAACCAAGCCAACACTCATGTATCATGTGTCATTGTAAGGGAAGCAAGCTGAAAAATCAGAACTGAGTAAGGACACAAAGTAAGGGGACTCTGGCAGCTAAAATGCCTATTCCAATCACTTTAAAGTAAATAAATAAACTTCCCAAGGCTTGAAGAGTATAGGACTTAATTCCAATTATTAGCCAAGCCACTAGAATACTCTCTTAAGCTAATATTATCAAGTGCTGCTCTTCATATACAAGTTAATAGTCTGGTTGCAACATATCTGCATCTCATCTACCTATCTGATTATTTGAAATTCTTGATAGGAGCATTTAAAACCTGTTACACCTAAAGCAAAGAAAAAATATTAAATCAAAAATTAGGAAATAATTTGGACTACAGTCCAAACGAATTAATTTCTTTGCTATTTACTATCTGCAGATATTTCAGTTGTTACCAGTAGTCTGGAATGTGAACATGGATTTTTTTTTTTTTTTTGGACGTAAAAAATGATGGTCAAATACTTCTGCCGAATACAGAAAGGTTAGGGTGAGCACCAAACAAGAAGTATTTTGCTTACATCACATCAGATTTGCCGAATAGGGAATACATGCTAAAAGAGAACGCCCCAATTGCTGCCACGGACAGTATTCCAGCCAGGGGAACGAGCTGAAAGACAAAACGGAGAAAGAGCTGAACTGGTGTCCCGGCTGAGAGCCTCGACTGGGGGAGCAGGGGTTATAGAGCACTCAGGTGGCATTAGCTGTTAGCGCATATTACACCTCTGTATTACTCTTCACACCACCTCACTTCTAACACGGGGCCCTCGCTCTCTCCATGTCCCCGGGAAGGTGCCCTCTATCCAGCGGCAGCCCCGGCGCACCTGCCCGCGCCAGCCGCATCCCTCCCCACGGGCGGGCACCACGGCCCCGGCTTCTGGGAAAACTTACTTCTCTTTTTGTTTTAAGTATCTGGAAGATGCTCCTGTTCATCGTGGCGGCGGCTGCGGACCTGGGACAAGCGGTTCGTGTTACCGCACCCCGGGGGAGAGGGGCAGGACGGTACCGGGCTGCGGGGACGGGCGCTCCCCGCGCTGCACACGCACCGCGTTATATACGCACCGCACCGCGCCCCGGGGCGCGGAGGCGGGACGGGACGGGACGGGACGGGACGGGCCAGCAGTGCCACCCCCCGGCCCGCGGCGGTAGGCGCAGGGGAGCGCCCTAAGGAGTTCCCGGCCCCAAAGGGAGCTGCCGGGAGACCGGGATGCTGCGCGTGCTCTTCCCGCCTTCCTCTCGCAACTCCTTCTCTCTCCGTTACTGCAGCACTCAAACCTTTCTTCTCCATTTCTCCTTTGTCTTCTTGTCTGTCCCCGTCTCCAGGCAGCTGCCCAAAGAACAGCATATCCAGGCAAACGCCCAGGTGAGGGTCTGTCTCTTCCAGAGCTCAGAGAGGTGCCTATAGCGACCCAAAGAGGACCCCAATGTCACCATGTCACCTTTTGCTGCAGCAAAAGCTTAACCCAGGCCCAGGTTCCCATCACTCTGCTGTGTTACACAGCTCCCACCTCTTCCCACTATCCCTGTCTGAGAAAAACTCCTACCAGGGGCAGGCTGGAGGTGAATGGTGGCAGCACGTGACTCTCTTACATTTCTCCCCTTCTCTCTTGTCCACTGGAAAGCAGTGAGAGGAAGAAAAGGCTGCTGTTACTGCACGCTCTGCTGGCTCCCTGCAGCAAGGAACAGACACGACAGGGCACAAGTAGTTCTGTTGGTCCCTCTAGGGAGCAAGTATGGAAGTTAAGCAGCAGGGTCTTTGAGGTAAAGGACCTGGCAGCATTCTGCTAGCAATTCACAAGCATTGCTAGGTTGTTGCCAGCAATAAAGCAATAAGGATAGTCCTTTCCATAAAATGGTGATCAAAGCCACCCAGCTAAACCCTTTCCTAGGTTACAGTGGCTTCTACTACAGCCTTTGGCCCTCCACAATCACCAACTGCCTTGGAACTGCCTTTTGGGATCCATCTCACTATAAACCACACTCAGTGCAGTCCCTACTATCCCTGTTATAAGAAAGAAATATTTGTTAATGGGTTTATAACTCACGAACCTCAGCTGAAATAAGGAACTATCTTTGAGAGTGGTGTATTTAGTTCACAAATATTTTCATTGGGAAAAGGAAAATATAATAAAAAATAATAAAACCCCTCCTACTCTAGAAAGTTAAAATGCACACTTACACGTAGTACCAATTTCCTTGGATATAACTGTATTTTAGAAGGTGACTTACAAAAATATACTGACAAAGAATGGTTGGGTAAGGAAAAGAATTTTGCACAAATTGTTATAAAGCAAACTACCTTCTCTAAAGAAATTATTACAGTTTGAGCTGATTGCATACTTCTTACCTGCTTACTCAATCCAAATGTTTGTACAGTAAGCAGTAACTGACCTAAAATTACTCCTAAAACTCCAGACTTCCAAACCTACAACAAGGTATTAAGCACTGACAACTTTTTCACTGCCACTATATTTTGGAATCTGCTTGTAAGAAAGTAAGCCTGTGAATAGGCACATATAAAACACTTCACATTTTATACAGAATGGGACTTATTTCCTCCTATCTAACATGTGAAAGCTTTTCTACTTTTTAAATATTCACTGTCCTATGAAGACTTCTCAACACATTATAAATTAAATACTCTTGTGATGCCAGTGTTTATACTGAAAACTGGGAAATCTACAGTAACACTAAAAAAGCTGTTCCACAGTGCTTTATCTAAGTATCTCA